CAAGAAGACTGGAAGCTGTAGCTGCTGTCAAAGGAGCTTCTACATGTGCTGATACAAGGTACTGAATACATTCATATGTGAAGGTTTCAGTTCTTGATTACAGATTATTTTTTTTGTCACTTTAACACACAATAACTTGAAAACCGCAGAGTGGTCTGTATACGTTCAGCAGCATGTTTCCCCTCACACAGTGAACACCCCGTTAATATCATCTTTAAAATGTTTGCACATTTTACAGAAACTGGAAGGAATTTTGATTGAATCATTATTAATTTTACTTACAAATGAATAACAATAGACACAGGACAGCTTAGCAAAAAGGGTTTGAACAGAAATGAGGTTTTTATTTCATGGTGTCTTCAAAGTAAGAACGGCGGTGATGTGACTCAGCCTCGGTGCTCTTTCACCGTCTTAAAGTCTGCAGTCAGGTTCTTGCTTCCTGCTGTGAGCTGAAGCCAGGCGGCCATAGCAACACACCTGGAAAGGCAGGAGGCTGCTGCTGTCTGTGCTCGGCTCACCCTCCTCTTCCTCCTACAGCAGCCTGTATCCGAGAGGAGAGAAGAAATCGAGGAAGAGAGCGGAGGATTCTCATCCACGCCTCCTTAAAGCTGGAGTGTTGTTTTTTTTTTTGTGGCATCACTGGGAAAAAAAACTCAACACAAACCTTTCAGCATCTTGTAGTTTAGACTTCTCCATCTCCTCCTGGCCATTTTTGGTCTGGCCCTTGATAGAAGATTTCCACCTGGCTTTTCATCCAGAGTAGGTGGAAGAATATGAAGGAGTAAAGAAGTCCATCAGTGAAGGAACAAGTCATGGTGGTTGTGTGACACAAACACACGACTTTCACTGAGGAGCTTGAATCCTGTGTGAAGCCACGAGTGAACGTTGACTTTCAATTTGAGTATTTTTGCAGGACAAAAAGTCAAACAGGCTACGAAGAAAAAGAGCACAAGGAACTAAAGAAAAGCAAACATGAGGCAAATGAACACGGTGCAACAAGCAAATCAGGCAGGCAGCAGGCAGACAAACATGCGGTTAGCAAACAGGTGGAGGAGGACAGGCAGGTGGTTCAGCAGCGCTGCAGACAGAACACGAAACATGACGAATTAAACGGTCTGCACTTATATAGCGCCATGCAAGGTGCTGCCTGCCATCGGGAGCAACTTCAGATTCAGTGCCTTGCCCAAGGACACTTCGACTGTGGAGGGGGCGGGAATCGAACCGCCAACCTTGTGATTGGAGGACAACCCGCTCCACCACCTGAGCCCCAGACTACACAGGAAGTGATCTGGTGAGACGACACAGGTGAAACTAATCAAGGCAATCAAAAAGAGAAGGAAACAGACAAAGGGAGGAAGTGAAGTCACCAGCAACACACAAGACAAGGAGATTTCAAAATAAAACAGGAAGTAATGTAAAAGGGATGTGGAAGATGTACATTAAAAATAAAAACAGATACAAATGGAGAACCACACAGGAAGGAGTCTAAACAAACAAACAAATAAAAACCTATAGACCATGACATCATGGAGCTACTTGCTATAAATGTTTCTGAGACGACTAGATTCCAGACGGACATTAAACATTCTTGTTGGTACATTTCTGACCACAGATTAAACAAAAGAGACACAATACTTTAAATGATGAGCTTTAATCAGTGGAGTTTTGATCATCAGGCTGTTTCCCTATCTCAAGCCTTATGCTAAGCTAAGCTAATCCCCCCATGCTTCAAATCATTACTTTACAAGATGTTCAAGTAACTGATGTAATTTCATGTTCTATACAATGCGTTTATATTCTACTGGAAGGGATTTGCATTTATCGATCCCTGCGCTGCTAAATATGCATCTATGGTCATGATAGTTCAGGAAGTGTCTGACTTTACTCCCACAGACCCTCGGAGTCATGACTGCAGTTTCTGAGTATAAGCCAGCAGCTCTTTTATTGTTTAGCAAGTCTAAATTTTTACTCAAGCAGTTTGTGCTGGGAAACATCTTGGTGCATTTTGGAAGTCATCAGACTCTCTTGGCTGCCAGAGCAGCGAAGACAGCGACCATCTGTGAACTCTGTAGCTGTGGAGCTGTAGCCCACCAACATACATAGAGCAAGACGCCTGAAGGTTCCTGTCCAGCATGTCAAAGAGTGTGTCAGTAACCTCGGCTCAATAACTCTCACAGAAACAAAGCGTGGGTGATGAAGTAGTGGCACAGCTCGGAGTACTTAGCTGTAGCTGTAAATGTGTTTGAGGATTTGAGGAGCTGCTATAAAGCCTGCTAATGTGAGGGTCATCTTCACCACGGTGACCTGGACCTCCAACTCACAGCAGCAGCATGAAATCTGCTACAGTACAGTATATGATCAACTTTCTTCAACTTCACCACGACACACCATATAGCAAATAAGAAAAACAAAGATTGAAAGGGTTCTTGTTTGCAAAATTTAAGATTTGACTTTTTTTTAAATGGCCTCCCCTCACGATCGTCCCGTTCATTATATAAACACATGTATGTGATGCCCTTACACCAGTTTGTGTGGTGAGTTTAGACTGTACATACAAATGGATGTAACCTCTGGACCTAAGAAGTGAATCCAAGTGCTTTGAACTTGCATTCTGTCTAACAGCCAGCAGGGGGCGACTCCTCTCATTGCCAAAGTAAGTCTGATTGTATGGAGGTCTATCAGAAGATGATTCTACTTCTCACCTGATTTGTGACCTCAGTAAACCTTTTTCCTCATAAATTTACGGTCTCTAGTTTCAGGTCTTTTACAGCATGACGTTAATTTTGTAAATTTGACTCACATTTAGAGGCAAACAGATGATAAATCAGGGTTTGTTGTAGGGTGGAGCTACGATGTGATTGACACTGATTGGTCACTACTGCAGCAGCGTGCATAGCCAGGCTTCAGAACCGTCTGTCTTTTATGTACGGTCTACGTCAGCACCTGAGTGACATTTTCATGCTCATGAAGTTCAAATTTTAAAATAATTTTAAGAAAACTGGCAAAACAAAGTCTACAATCATATCTGTTTCC